TTTTTTTTTTGTTGCTTTTACGTGAAAACATAATTATAAAGCTGTTTTTTTTTTTCTTCTTCTTGATGGGTTCATCAGAAACTTTTTAACGACTACCTCACCGAGTGGGAAAGAGGACACTATGGGGCATTTAAAGCACATTTCTGCTGGCGTCAACAAATCGGTTTACCCCAACTTAGGTTGTTTTTAAAATGTGTTAAGCTACGGCAGGAGAGTTGGTACATTTCCCCCTAGAACAGCCTCATCGAGTGCAGCCAGATATGCGTCTTTCCTCCTTTTTGGCCGTGTTCAGGCCTGCTTTACCCCTCATCCTCGGGCTGTCTTTGGGGTGTAGTCTGAGCCTTTTGATGGTGTCCTGGACCCAAGGGGATACCGATGACTCCTGCAGGGATGAGCTGGGGAATGGGAGGCTTTTCCCGGGCAGAGGGGAGGCTCAGAGAGACCCGAGGGACGGAGCTGGAGGTGAAGACTACGAGCCACATATCGTGCCCTATCACAAAGACCCAAATAAACCACACAAGAAAGTCCTCAGGTGAGCGTGGAAAAAGACCTCAGTGCATACAGCCATGTTATATAAGATAGTTGTGTGGAAAGTCTGTGGAGCAGGAGGGAATAAGTACAATTTAACTTTGTTTTTTAGACATATAGGGTCCTTATTATTATAAAAAACAACAAAATACAACCTAGAGTAAAGACAGATTTGTTAGATTTACCACATTTACATTTGTTTATTCTCTATTTAATAGGCTTACATTTAAATCTCCCCTCCAATAAGCTAAATGCACTCAGTGGGATATACAGTATAGAGGGCCTTTAGATTAGAGATTACATCAGTCAAATCTCTTTGTACAGATATACAGTAGCTCAGATGAGGAAAGCACTTGTTGATCCACAGATGTCATCCTCCTTTTCATGTCTTATTTCAAATCATACAGCTGATTGTTCACCTTCACACAACAAAAAAAAACCTTTTATCTTATCTTTTAACAGTTTTATTTGCCTTCAGATAGTTTTAGAGCTTCATGTAAAACAGTTTGAGGCTGTTGAAGTCTATATTTCCTCTGATGGAAACAACTTGACCATTATCAGCTTTATTCTTCTTTTGTTTTGATGTATTTTTCTGTTCTTCTTTACTCGTCCAGAACTCGATATATTCACACTGAACTGGGCATCAGAGAGCGCCTGCTGGTGGGTGTGCTGACCTCTCGGGCCACCCTCAACACGCTGGCCGTGGCGGTGAATCGCACGGTCGCCCACCACTTCCACCGCACCTTTTTCTTCACAGGCCTGCGCAGCCCCAAGGTGCCTCACGGCATGACTGTGGTTGCCCACGGCGACGACCGTCCCGTGTGGCTCATGTACGAGACGGTGCGCCACCTCCATCAGCACTACGGCTCGGACTACGACTGGTTCCTCTTAGCCCAGGATGACACGTACCTGCATGCGGATCGTCTGTCGGAGCTGGTGGGCCACCTCAGCGCGGGTCAGGACCTGTACATGGGCAGGGCGGAGGAGTTTATCGGTGGAGAGGAGAAGGCGCGCTACTGCCACGGGGGGTATGGCTATCTGCTGTCCCGCAGTCTGCTGGCCCGTCTGCAGCCCCACCTCGACACCTGTCGCAATGACATCCTCAGTGTGAGACCTGATGAGTGGCTGGGCCGCTGCATTATTGACTACTTGGGTCTCAGCTGTGTGGAGGTGCACCAGGTAAAGGAAAACCACAGACCCCTGCATGGAAACCAGTAGATACGTGCATGTAAATAAAGCATAAGAGTACATTAGACACAATTCTATTGGAGTAATATTTTATACTGATGTTTCTTCTCTGTGTCGATGTTTGTGCGGCTCACAGGAGATGACCTATCGTTACTTTGAGCTCGGGAAAAACGCAGATCCAGAGCGTGAAGACAGCGCACGGTTTAAAAATGCCTTCACAGTCCATCCTATATCGGAGCCAAACCTCATGTACCGCCTTCACAAACGCTTCAGTCAGATCGAGCTGGAGTGGACTTACCTACAGATTCAACAGCTGCAGGTAACATCAGACACTTTGTGTTTGTGTCTGTGTCAAAGTATACTGTTTGTTCTCCTCTCCACCACACCCACTTTTTGAGCCAAGGCAGAAATCCCTGACTGATACAATATTTAAACATGTAAGAAAGCCAAGACAAGAGATCAGGTGTTTTGCTGGGGGCGAGAAGTGTTACATTCCAGCGTCATCATCTCGCCAATATCATCTGCCGGAGAAGCCTCATTATGTTGTTAAAGCAGCTGCTAATGGTAGTTCATTACCACTGTTTTGACTTAACTTTAAATATCCCCTTACACCACAGAGCAACCAGATATGTGACGAAGGGAAACACCGTTTGGACAGCGTGTTCGTTTTTTAGCGTTAATTTTACACCTAACAGATTTTTCTGTGTACTCATCAGATGCAGATCAACAACCTGAGCGATCTCACGCCGGAAGGTAAGGCTGGCGTCACGTGGCCTATAGGAATCAACCCTCCCTTCAAGCCAAGAACCCGTTTTGAGGTTATAAACTGGGAGTACTTCACTGAAGAGCACATTTACTCGTGCGTTGACAGCTCCCCGAAGTGTGAGATGAAAGGGGCCGACCGCGCAGATGTAAACGCGGTACTGGAGATTGCGGTGGAGCGTCTGAATGAGCGCTACCAGCCCCAGCTGCGCTTCCGCAAACGGCGTCTGCTCAACGGTTACCGGCGCTTCGATCCCACGCGTGGGATGGAGTACGTGCTGGACCTTGCGCTGGAGGCCTACACCCAGAAAGGTCACAGTCAAGTCATCGCCAAACGGGTGAACTTGCTGCGACCTCTAAGTGCAGTTGAGATTATCCCCATGCCCTACGTGACAGAGGCAACACGGGTGCAGGTCATCCTTCCTGTCACCGCCCAGGATCAGGACTTTGTTGGTAACTTCCTCGACATGTACGTGATGAACACTTTGGACACCCACGACAACGTTTTACTCACGTTCCTGTTCATCTATGATCCGTTTGACGCACAGCGGGTCAGCCAGACGGACGTGTTTGCCGGCATTAAGGCCATGATTGGGGAGGTGGAGAAGCGCTACGGAGACGTGAAGATCCCTTGGATCAGCGTGAAGACGGAGGTGCCCTCACAGGTCAAGCTGATGGACATCATCTCGAAGAAGCACCCGGTGGACACGCTGTTTTTCCTGGCCAGCGTGTGGACGGAGGTCAACGCTGACTTCCTGAACCGCTGCAGAATGAACGCCATCAGCAACTGGCAGGTCTTCTTCCCCATCCACTTCCAAGAGTACAGTCCTGCCATCGTCTACCGCGACCAGCAGCCCTCCGCCGCCTCCTCCTCTTTTGCCTCCGAGTCGCTGCGAGACGGCCACTTCGACCGCCACGTGTTCGACGAGGCCTGCTTTTACAACGCCGACTACATGACCGCACGGACCAAGATGGCGGCCGACATCCTGGACAACGAGGAGCTGCTGGAGAGCATGGACGTGTACGACATATTTGTCCGTTACTCGGGGCTGCACGTGTTCAGAGCCGTAGAGCCGGCGCTGATCCAGAAATACGTGCGGCGAGCGTGCAACCCGCGGTTCAGCGAGGATATCTACCACCGCTGTGTCCTCAGCAACCTGGAGGGTCTGGGGTCACGCTCACACCTGGCCATGGCTCTTTTTGAACAAGAGCAGGCCAACAGCACCTAAAGGTCTGAGCGTGCTCAATCGTACAGGTCTGCCCCGGACTGAAGGATACTCATGTGGAACCCTGTGAATCGTTAAATGGTACTTTGTGTGATCCATACACTGAAATTCTCCCTTTTTTTGGCAGAGAGAGGTCAGGGTGAGGAACAGAACCATGTAGCTTACCGACGCCTCGTTGTATCCTCCAGCTGTATCCTCTGCTCAGTAACTATGAGTATGTCTGACACACGAGTCGAGGATGTGTCCTCACATGCGACTCGCTGAACGTGGACTACTTGTATTTCCACCACTGACATATTCTCACAGAAGTTGAGCAACAATATTTATACTGTTGTTGTTGTTATGCTGTCGTGTCTTGAACAAAGGCCTTCATTGTTAATTAATTGAGAAAACTCTTGAGCCATAAGTCTCCCTTTAGTGGAGATGTTAAGATAATACTGGAAACATGCTGAAGCCGTTGGCTGCCTTTTCTTTTTTTTTTTTTTTTTTAAAGGTATTAAAGAGTGATATTTCCGCTGCTCAGAGTTGTTTCTTCATTCCTACTTTTCAGAGTGTAAAAACGCTTGTTTCAGTCTCATTAGACAGAAAGACAACTGTTTACAGGATCTGTATGCAGCATGCTTGAACAGCCACTCCTGGAGGTATCTGTTATCTGCTTGGCAGAGCTGAAGAAAAGGCAATAAGGCAGAAAAATCAGTAGTGATGGCGTGTTCATATTCAGAATAATACATCTTTTAGTCTTCCCGGTTCACCTAAAAGCCTAACTGCAGCGCCTGGAGGCAGTGAACAGTTTGTTCCAAAGCAGCCTGCCCCGCCTCGTCTCCTCACATTAAGTCAGTAATTCTCCACCCCGGCCCGGGCCTCCCTGGGTTTTTGGCGAGTATTCTGTACACATGTGTCTTTGGGGAGAGAGAAGTGAACCCTGTGCCCAGAGGGAGGGTCCACCTATCCACGGTCCGCCATTGGCGTTTGTGGTTAACCTTCACAGCGAGATGGTTGAACGAGCTGAATGGGCTTACTTCACAGAGCCTCCTCCTCCCTTCTCTGTAAAGGGGTGAGACGATCGCGCGGAGGCCCCATTATAACCTCCCCCACCCGCAAAAACTTCTCCATCGGCTCAGGAGAGCAGCGGAGCAGCAGAGTGAAAGAGGCTCTTTCTGAGGTGGGAGTGGATCAGTGAGCAGTCGGCGTTACAGCCCTGTTGCAATACGCCGTGGAAACGCCTCCACCTGCTTCCTTGTGGTGAGGTCAGTGAACAATAAAAGGCCTGTCTGCCACTTTTGAGGAACGCCTCACTCATGCAGGAAATTTAACCCACCAATGAGCTTGAGCACTAAATCAACACTTTACTGACGCAGAGCACGAGAGTGTTCGTTTAGTGAAGGGTGATTTAGCAGAGCTACACAACTTAGTTGCATAATTTGATGTCATTTACGGAGCGGAGTTCTGCTGTGGCTGGAAAATAGTTATGTTCTGGATATCAAAGGGTGCGTTTGAGTAATTTTCACCCTTAAATGTTTGAGAACAACAACTTTTAAGTCTCAACATGTTTTTTAAATTTGATCAGCTGTAATTACAGAGTCTCACTGTGACCACAGGCATCTGTTATTGCAGGCAGGTTAGATCTCCTCATATCAAGGCAGCTCGTACAGTATGCAATTATCTAGTCGTATCATATCGTACACTGGATGTGTGAAAGTTGGAGGATTGATAGATGGATTTAACCTATTTGAATCTTATAAAAATGATGCTTTGCAAGTGAAAGATGCTTTAAATTGTGGTTCAAACACCAAATGTCTCTTCGTGAATTCATCAAATATCAGGTTGGAAGTAACAAATTATTTGTACTTTTTCAGATATCTGTACTTGAGGATTTATCTGGAAACGTTTTACTTTTACACCCTACATTTTTAAACATCTGTACTTTCTATTCTTTACATTTTCTATTTAGTTTTTAAGCATTTTGAGGAGAATTATCTATTTAGTTCTTTGAATGACAACAACAACAGTGACGTATAAAAAGACAAAACATTATTTGAAGTTTCAGATACATTTGGCAGCCGGTAGAAATGTCCTTCAGAGGAACCAAGAGAGTTTCTTTTTACTTTAAAGTACATTATAGAGCCTCTACTTTTTAACTTCTACTTGAGTAAAGAATGTGTGTGTCAAATATACATTAATGATCACAGTAACAGTACATACAGTGATATTTATGAAGTCATTATACATACAAGATGAATGGCAAAAAAACCTAATTTGGGCCTTTTTTTTTGTTTTGTCTCTTGACTTAATTTATTAATTAATGCCACCCAGTCTCTTTATAACCTTTTCATGTAGAAGAGGCACTTGACTTTCCTAATAATTCCCCCTAATCCCAGTAACATTTACTTTGTAAGTTCCCACATAATATTTCTACAGCATGTTAAGTCATCATTTAATAAAAATTACAATATTGTATGGCTAAACCAGTTGTAAACCAGAATTCAAGCCTTGTTTTGAACTCAAGTTTTTACCTTTTTATTTTATATCATAATTTTCTGTCTGTAATGTCACATTAAAGGGGCAGTTCTCCAGTTTGTAGCTTTACGAATGAGTATGAAAGTAAATATAATGTTTAAAAACATCCTAACATTTAATTAAAATGATATTTTGAAGTATATTTAAGCAACACATAGAGGTTTTGTAGAGCTCGGTTTACTACTTTAATATGTCTTTCTATTATGTGCACAAAGAAAGTGACTTGCATCGACATGTTGTGGTGATAAAAGGTGAAAAAAGACACTTTAGATCTCATGGCATTTACAAACTTTGGCAAGCGCTTCTTTATTTACATCCAGGCTGTCTCGTAATGTCACAGCTGTTTTCCCTTTTTTTTTGTAGGATCACCAAACGAGTTCGCTCTTTACAGATATACAGTATTATGTATACTATACCTCCCTGTTGGTGATGCTCTGACAACAGTGTAAACAGAGAGAAAGAGCAGTTTCCCGCTCTTCACGAACACATGCAGGGGGTGGGACAAACATGTCAACAGTACGTCAGGGTTTAAGTAACAGGAGACAGTAGTCTGTTAACATTTTGTCAGCTATTCTGTGGCGCTCAAAGCTGAGGTCACCCAGGAGTTGCAGCGTCTAGTTTCCTCCACAAGAGGGTGCTAGTGAATCAGTGACTGTATGACAACAATGTGAATGCCCTGGCCATACAAAGACAAATCACTCCAGGTCAGACACAGGACTAAGATACTACCAATGACTACCGTTTCTCCTCTAATGAGTGCAGTCAAATATAACTTAGTAACAAAAACACAGTTCAGAAAAATCACACCTACAGTTAGTTGCTGGTAGGGCATATCATTTTTGGCAAAAAAGTTTCCAGAAGGCATATCAACAAGTCTTTTCGCTCGTCACACAGACTGCTATGCCAGCTTTTTATATGTACACACACTGTCTCGTCGAATGTATTGATTAACGTCCATGGAGCATGCATAGGTCATCGTGAAATCATCCGATCACTTTTTGTGTACGCTGGGATAATAAAAAGAGGGTCTCACCCGTGACGAAGAGTCCCGTCAAAGAATTACAGCACAGTGCAAAGAAACCCCCAGACAAAAGGTTCCAGCTAGAAACTGACTACTGAGAGAAAACTAAAAATTCCTCCATCTGACATTACAACATATACATACAAGTCAAGTGTCATTAACAAAAAAAAAAGTGTAAAAATGAGATCGGTGCAGATTAAATCGTGTGTTACAGCTACTGATTGAAGCTTTCTTTGTTTCGAGCTTCTAGCTCCCACGATGGTTACGGGATGGACCTAAAATAAACCTCCCCAACCCAAGATAGTACACAGAGGAACACTAACATTCCTGCCCTACTAATTCAAAACTCATGGAAGCTCCCATACTGCACCATGTAACACCCCAACCCCTCCAACCCCAACATCCCCCCCAAACAAACACACACAGATAGTCTGTCGTATACTGTACAGCTGGCCCTCTTAAGGGACAGAAACATATTTACATTCACATCTCTACAAAAGAAGAAAACTTCTTCTTCTTGTAACATAAAAAGTGTAGAAATGGACACAGTTCTCCAGACCTGGGTTTAAGCGTTCAATGCAATAACAGTCTTAGGGTTTGTTTACATAAAACTCGAGGCCTAATTGGCTACAAAACGCAAACATTTGGGGAGTAAATCCACTCTGAAACTACCCAAATTGTTCAGATTTGTTAAGACATCGTTGCACTTTCATGTTAAACCCAGGTGAGGAATTTCTTGCCCACTTCTATTTCAGTGATCATGTTCTCTTCTTCTCGTTGCAACCTTTGGTAACACCTTCATGACATTAACTGGCAAAAAAAACACCACACAAGGAAGAGGCAGTGAGCGACTCTGACCAAACAAATCGGTCGACAACTCCCAACATGTAGAGGCATATTTGTCATTTTGCTAATGATTAAGGGAAGAAAAAAAGCTATTCTTATGATGATCAATACTTGTTTCTCCTTCATTAAAACACTATTCTTGCTATAAACAGACGTAGAGCCGTTACTGCGATAATACTTTAGATCACGTAACTAATACTGTTGTAGGAATTACTGTAAAAAGACTCTTTTATAAGACTAAAATGAGACACGCTGGAGGTTTTCCAATTAATTCACTCAAACTTGAAAATGAATTAAATCCACACCTCATGTTTAATAGATAGCGTTGATTCCCTGCAACCCCCCCGAATGTGTCACACTGTAATCTCGACTTTGCTGGTGTAATTAATCAATCTTTAATCAAAACTACTCCACTAATGAGAACAAATAAAAAAAACACACAGTCACACTTACAACCACAAAAACAAAGGATCAAAAAAGGATTTGGAAAACATAAAAGAGTCTCATCCAGAGCGCTGTGAGGGTCGACTGTGACACGGGTTTACGTCATGTTACATTTCTGTCGGACACAGTATCAAACTCTTCGAGTCGAGGAATCCAAAAAATACCACAGCGGCGTGAGTGAGTGAGCAGCCGATTTTCGGAGTTTGTCTTGACGCGTTTTGCAACATATTTACAAAAGCAGAGAGTAGCGGACGGAAAGAGGAGAGTTGTGTTTATTAGGCAGTGAGTCTGAAGATGCCTGTGTTCTGAGGGGCTTGACCTCCAGTGGGTGGGTGGGGGTGAATGCATGCGGTTTAATGATGATAATCTCACAGTCCTGGGCAAAACTGAACAAATATGCAGCGACCGCGTATGTGCGTCGAAATCTGGATTCCACACGTGCGCATCGCTGCTGTCGTGAGGAAAACAACCTCCTCTCAGCTCAAATTTCGTGACAAATGCTGTCTTTTTTTAGTTTAGAGGTTTAAGGTTTCACCAGACTACAGCGATGGCCCCACACACATCCAAACACACACACACACACACACAGCTCTGAAGTCAGATGCAGGGATTCAGGAGGGCCTTGGTTTAGGTGTTGCGCACAGCTAAGGCCTGTTCCAGCTCCTGTCTCCTCTGCTGGATCTGTCGAGGAAAGAAAAGGAAGAAGAAGTCATCTGAGCGTCTAGAGGCAGAGCTTGGATGTTGTGAGGTAAAAGGGGATTAGATGGCGTCTCCTCACCTTGCAGTAGAAATAGCGGCTGACGGCCTCCTGGGACCAGGGCTCGTGGTAAAACGCCGCCCTCCTTTCCTCCTCGGGGTTCCCCACCACGTCTGTCATTAGCTACAGCCAAAAAAGGGACAATCATCAATGCTGGGGAAGAATGAGCTACTATAAGCTGCATATTGCATGTAAATTCCAGGAGGACGTATTTCAAACCAATTAATAATCTTTCTGAAGAGGATTCCTAATTATTTTGGTGATCTTTCATGTTTCATTCCCTCTTGAACAACAAATTGTAGCCACTAGGGGGCACTTAGCTGGGGTTTGGGCTTCAAGTTAGTCAATTCTAGTCAGTTTATTTGTCTTTTTTTTGTATTACTAACAGAGTGAGTGTATCTTTATTGGTAACGTGATGCTCTACTCAGAGGTGTGAATAAAGATGGCTTCAATGAGCCTTTACATCCAGAATATATGTCAAATAGAGGCAGTGAGTTTCAATGTGCCTTTAAGTTACGAAAGGAGCAGCATGAGCGTGCTTGCATATAAATAGTAATATCGAACCTTAAGGTCTCGGCTTTGGGATTTGAGCCAGTCCTGGATGTAGCCCTTGGGATCTCTGGAGAAACTGAGCATGAAGTCCCTCTGGATCTTCAGCTGGTTGATGGACTCGATGGTCTCATGAATCTGAAAGAGGAACAGTAACAATACTATACATTAAGGGGAAAAAAGGCAGACAACTCAGTGTTTCCTTTATTTAACTGTAACTTGAAAACTGCATCTGAATAATCTAAGTATATGGATAAAAATCATAGACAACAACATCTAATTGATTCTGTATCAACTCTCAGGACTAAAATCTAAATACATTTATTAATAGCAAATAAGCATTTCCTCAGGGAAGGATGTGTATAAAGATGTAAAAAATTAAGAGGAGAAATTGCTGAACTGGTGATTTTAGTAACACTTGAATAAGGCCGAAGTATGCAACACTCGATATAAGCTCTTAAAGCCTGTCTTAGTATCTTGTTGTATCTGTGTTGGTCTCCTTAAACGTTTAGGTGAATGAGATAAAAGAGTGTGAAACGTATGCCTCTGCCATCATCTGTGTCCACACATTTAATCAAAGCAGCGCTACTGTGTGTGTGCATGTGTTTTCTGTCCCGCCCTTCCTTCCTGCTCAGCCACAGCAACCTGCTCTTCACAGAAATGCCACTTTAATGTGTCTGTCAAGCATAAATCTTGGTCAAACATTAAGAATAGCTCCCACATTTAAAACAACAGAGGTGTGAAATCCACTGCAAGCAAACTACTGCGATAAAACAAGAACTACTGTTTAAAAAAATGTAAGTAATAAACTTGGTTGCCCCCATGATGCTGCTTACTTATCACCTCAGTGTGATTTACAGCATCAAAGGTTTGTGTTCTGGGATGTCGGCGATCTCACCTTGTTGTCGAGCGAGGCGATTTCCTGCTGGTTGGCAGTGGAGAGGAGGAAGCTGCTCATCTGGCTCTTCAGGGGGTCTTCCACCTCTACGTCGATGTCGTAGCACGCCGTCTTCTTCTGGTCGTTGGGATCCACGCTGACGCAGAGCGGAAAACGTTCATTGAGACAAAATCATTACAGAACCACGACAGAGATCTCACATATCGTTCATAATGTGGCCACCACTTTAGTTTAATTATATTTTTATTTCTTTTTTAAAATAATTAAATTTTTTATGTTTTGTAAAAGTTCATTGAAAGAAAACAATAACTCAAAGCTATTTATAAAAAGCTCTTTATTTTCTAGCTCCTGAGGCCACACGGAGACAACAAAGGCAACTTTAATAGCTATTTTATTAAAATATCTTTTTAAAATGTCACTTCTTTTTACAAGAGCAGGAACAAACGCTCTTCACAAAGAGAAAATAAACACAACCAGGCACAAATGTGTCACATTAAGTAAAAGACAACACGTGTAAACATACAATAAAACCTTACTTCTACCTACTTCTGAGCTTTTAATCTCAACAAGTCTTTCCTGGTTGAATAAGGTTTGTATGCAGTAGAAGAGGAATCTACCTGATAACGTGGTTGATGACGATGGGGTCAGGAGGTAAGAGGAGGTTGGTGAGGCGCTGAGGGATCTCAGAGAACTTCAGCCGAGGACAATCAAAAATCTGCGAAGGAATAGAAAAACATCTGTGAGGAAAACCACCAAGTTTATTGATAACTATGACTGAAAATACCTTAATAGGTTGATTGATTTTACTGAAGCATGTGGACGCACAGTTTTCCTTTAAGTGTTAAATATTCATTCGACTCGTCGGATCATTTTACTCAGATTTGACTGAAGAGGAAGTTTTTCTCTGACACAACTTTAATTGTAGACTAATTTGTTTCTAAAGTGGAATGTGTATCATATATACATTTGGAAATTATAGAGGTCAGTATTACAAGAGAGATATACTTCATATTAATAATGTTGCAGCAATATCATATTTTCAGTGGTGGAAAGTACTTTTACTCAAGTACTTATGTGCTACATTATACATCCGCGTCACTACAGTTCAGAGGGAAATATTGTACTATTTACTCCTTTAGTTACTTTTCAAACCAAGATTTCACATAAAAAAAGACAAAATCAGTTCATAAAATATTATTTTCCTAAACTTTTTAGATGTTTAATAACTGTATGAATCCCAAAGAGATCAAATGATCCAATATTTACAAAAAAATCTAATATTTCCTTTCCCCATTAATCATCTCAAGACCCATCAGATTTATTTTGTGACGGACCCCTAGGTTAGGAAACTAATCAAACTACCAAACTTCACCATATGAAGTTTTAAAACTTACAAAAATATAATAATATAAGTACTTTTACTTTTAATACATTAAGATTATAGTACTTTCACTTACTTTCACTAAAATTTTAAATGAATGACTTGTTGTACTGGTACTTAAAGTCAAACTTCTTCCACCACTTAATATTTCCAGCCACAAAGATATTAATATTCATGCAACAACAACATGTGTGATTTACAGCACATACCTGTTGGAAGTACTTGTCACAGTTGATGTACTCCTTGTCATGGGAGTCCTGCAGCTTGTTGGTTTTGACGTACTGCCAGAGCGCCTGGATGATGCAGGAGCGGGTCTGAGTGTGAATGCCAAGCAGGCGAGCCAGGCGAGGGTCCAGCTTAAATTGGGGAGGCTGCGGGGACGATATAATCGCGTTAAAACCCACCTCAAAGCCTTTACATCAGCTTCATCTCATCCGACATCCTTTTCATACTCCCCTAAAAACATAAACTGGTGGCCTACAGGTTGTCACTACTACAACTCTGCTTACCTGGTAGTCCAGCATCAGCAGCAGAGTGCAGCGCACGCTCACGTCTCCCGGCCTTTTCACCTGGAAGCCGTCCGTCTCCTGGGTGGTGGGAGTGCGGTGCCACTGCAAGAGCAAACCACCACACTGAGCTGGTTTATTCAGACTGAATTATTTTGTTAGTTTCATACTTCATTTTCAGTTTGTTTCACACTTTATTAATCAGAATCTCTAATTAATTCCTGCTTTAAAGGCCCTGAACACCTCTTGTTTCTCTCATTACGAGCGACGGGATCATGCGAGACGCTTTCTTTTCTGCCAAAGTTTTGGTTATTTTACATGAGAGATTTCTGTGTTTTGGTTTTCTCACTGTTTTGAAGTTAAGTTTGACAACTCAGTAGGAAAAAGGTGATCCCAATCACCAATCCCACACTGGACTCAAAATGTGATGACACTTGTGTGGTCTGTTTGCTTATGTTGCCGGCAGCATGAGTGAAATGAGGTCAAACCACACCCACACAGCCAGGAATGAAGATGTCAGTTGTTCAGTCGATGCACCATTTTGGTCCAGACCGAAATATTTCAACAGCTATTGGACAGATACAGAGACATTCACGGTTTCTAGACGATGTTTGTTGATCCTCTGACTCTTCCTCTAGCGTCACTAGTGGTTCACATTGTGTAAGGTTGCATCTAGCAACATCAACATATTTATTTGTTCAATACTTTGTGACCAAACACCTACAAAAATTAATTATATTTCTTAATCTTTATGTTGTGTTTGATGCTAATTGGCAAATGTTACATACATAGTCACTGTGAGAATTTTAGCCTAATTTAGTGTTAACCTCTTAATAAAATGACCTAAGCTTGTTACTTCCTGACCCTTAACTTTGATTAATATTTTGCGTTTTAGAGAAACACTTCAGGGCTTCAAGGAAACTGCAAACAGTTCGAAGCTGGACATGTGGCACGATTAAAAGAAAAAACGTGCAAAGTAAAAAAAAAACCTGAGCGTGCCTTCATCTAGCAGCCTTGATCTTGACCTAGAGTGCAAAGTCTGTGGTTTGATGAGAGGTTAAAGTTTTTCAAACGAGCCATGCACAGTGTACTGAGACACCAAAATAGCAAAAGGTTAAACCATGCGGCTGCGCAGATGAATGTTATCACACGCAGGATTACACCGTAGACGTAGACTCGAAGAGAAATAACAAAAAAAAAAAACGAAATATCAGCTTGGCCAAGTACAATAATTCCCATAAGATTCAGTGTTTTACTCTTTGTGTTTACATGTATCAGAACCTCCTCTGTGTCTCGCTGCAGATTAAATGTTATTTACATCTCCATTTTATCTTTACTGCTCAGAAACTGAAAAGAAAAAGCACTTAAAACATCCTCAGTACAGTGGATTGCAGTAACTTGGCATGCAATACCAGGTAATGTTTTCCTCCAATCAATGGCTGACTCAGAACAGATTAAGTACTGATTGTACCTCAAGGTAGAGAAAAAAATATTTTGATGGAAAATCATTCAAAGCGAAGCACCTGAGAGCCTTGCTAAAATACCCTTTTAAAAGGAGGAACCTTGAGAAGTCATAATTTTCACTTTGAAACTCTTAAAGTGTTTTTTTTTTTAAAGTCAATACATTTTGTGAAGATACAAAGTGAAGGGCGGGTAATGATTGTTTTTAATAAGTAAGCACTTGTTTTCTCTGCCTCTCACCTGCATATTAAAACAACCTTGATCGTTTTTTTTGTTTTTTTTTTAAACGTCTCCTTTATGTGTTATAGAGAATCACTTTATTAAAAAGGAGAAAGGACAGCCCACTTTCTCCATCTGTTTTCTTTTGTATTTATCCAATGGGGATGTAAAATGGAGCAGGTTCTGTGGGGTGACTGAAGCTCGAGAATAAACCAGACATCACAAAATAACAGTTTTCGGTGAACGTCTCCCCCGTGCATGATGAAGAGGCCGTCACTGACCCTGACTGCATGGCTGAACAGTCGGATTCACTGATTTGTGCAGCATACAAAAAGCACTCTATTACTAATACATGTGATCTCAAATCAAAGCACTAACCTATTAAGTGACCAAAAGCCAAGTTGTCCAGATGTGAATGTTACGAAGCGGAGTTTGTTAAAGCGATATTTTGACATTTTGGGAAATAAGCTCTCTTAACTTTCTTGGCCAAGAGACAACAACATGCAGAGTCCTGCAAAAGTATTCTTCAAAGGCACCCAACTCCACACACAGAGCTGAATCAGGCCCAAATCCTCTACTGTTAGGTATTCATAAACAAGCCCTAAATTACTGGAATCATATGACCCACTCTCCTTTTCTCTGCTGCCAGTGAGTGGAACCCTCAAAAGAGTCACTGCGACCACCTCAGCTTCGAGACGCAAGCACTCAGAACATTAGACACAACCAATTTATGATGAAAAAAAAAAAGGACAGAACGAACAAAGTCCCAGAACAAAAAGGAAACATATGCAGCCCTGAACAAACGGTACACTGTGGCAACCTAGTTGAACACAGAAGTACAAACTCATGACTCATTAGTTTTTATTTTTGTTTTCAGTTCAGTTTCAATTTACTAAAAATGTTTCAGTGTTAGTTTAAGTTAAGTTAAGATTTAAGAAGTTCAGTATAGGTACAAACACACTGACTTACACTTATAGACAGCAGAGTCTTAATAAAGATAAAGATAACTGACCAAACTGACAAAGACTGAAACTATAAACATTTCCTGTACAATCTTATTTTTGTTTAGTAAGCACAGTTTTTATTAACTTTTTTTTTACACCTAGTTTTAGTTTAGTTTTAGTTAATAACCCTGGTTGAGACGGAGCTGCTTTCTAATTCAGTCTGTTATTCATAATTTAATTTCAAATCCACCGTGCTGGAGCAAAAATGTGCTAACTAGCATGTTAGCTTGTTTGCAGCTCAAATGAAATACAAAGAAATGAGAGCCAGCTCATATAGTGATACCACTACTGACCACGTCTAAAGTTATTCCATGTGCTCATTCAATTAAAAAACACTGATCATGTGACAAACACTAAACATACCATAATTCTGTAAGAGCAGAGTAAAGGTTTATCTGATGGCAGCTGTGCAAAAATAAATAAATGAGCCTCTTCCTGTGTACACAGGGTGCAGTGGCCATCTTTGAACTGACCTCAACCAGGTGGTTGTCAGGACCGTAGAGGTCTTTGTCCAGCTCAATCACCAGGCTCTTAAAAAACGAAGAGAACTTCTTCTTCTGCTTCCCCGGCTGTGAGACAGACAGAGAGAGAAAGGAGGTGGTCAGTTAATGTGTAAAATCAAACACACACATGCAAAAAAGGAAATACTTGTTGCCATGTCTTTGCTTATAGCAACATTACTCATCAAAAGCCCACAAGAGGCCAAGTGAGATCAGAAAGAGAGACACTAGACATTCTCAGGGTCCACTTCCTCTGAGCTCAACCAGAAATATTTGTGGTTTGTGAAACTTAGATGCTTCCTACCACTGTGAAATGACGGCCTTGCCCCAGACTGCTGAGAACATCAGAGCTTTTTGAGGCGAAGCTTACGGTGCAAAACAAATGTAAGAATATTCTGATTTTCATGCTGCATTTACAGTCTCTCTAAACACTCTTCACAACATCAATCATTTATTTTATACTCCAGTGCCAGTCGATACTGTTCTTGTCCGAAGTTGTTTGAGCACGTCATTACCGAGTGTGACTGCTGGCCAAAAAAACGACCCAAAGTGGAACACACTCATAATAAATGGGAATATTATGATCTCAGTTGTGTTTTAGACTCGCACTGGTGGAAGATGACATAATGCTACACTCCGCGGCAGATCAGCATCACAGAAACTGTAGTTTTTTAAAGGTTATTTCACTTTTAAACTGACTCAATAACTCAGTGTGAATGTACTGTATATTTTTAAATGAAAGAAAACTTACATCATCCAGCAACTTTCCCTCCACTCGCAGTTCCCATGATGCAATGCTGCCGTCTGAGTCATCAGCGTCGGGTCTGGCGGGGTTGAAGGTGTTGGATATGTAAAGTCTCAGTTTACGCTTTTGCTGCTGACACAAGGGCACATAAAATAGCACAGTTTAAACGGACGTTTCACAAAAAAAAATTAATTAAAATGTCATGCTGCAGGTGCCCTGTTTGGACTGATTATCTTAATATAACAGCAGATTAGTCAAGAAGCCTTGAAAAAGGACGTTTCTTTTGTGTTCTAAGGTGAGACGAAACCAGAAAAGGTGAGAAATAAAATCCTTTATTAAAAAGTAGTTAGTTATTAAGAAGATCTTTTCTTTCAATACCTGTTGAGGTTCAAAGATTCCTATAAATTACATTTTTGTCCTCCCAGAAATGGATAATTGGTGTTTTAGACACCACGAGGGACAGCAGGGCACGCTGGCTCCTCATTAGTCACGTTTTCTTGTCCTTACCTTCATTGGTCTCTTCAGTGCTTCCTGGATGTCCACACGTTTGCGCATGATGGTCTGGTCCAGTTTGCGCTCAAACGCCAGCAGATCCATGTAGGCCTGAGACTCTGGGACCAGCTCACGGATCTGTTCAGAGGGGAGACAATCTGACGTTAACAGCTGCAGTATGTCTCACACACACACACACACACACACACACACACACACAGTATTAAAAAGTCAGATTATATTCACAGGTTCTATCTGAATACCACTAAAAGGCTTAAGCAGATTAGTTGTCTGCCCTGCCTTGGTGCTGTAGGGGGTCCAGTGTCTTATTTCAAGGACATTCAGCCCCTAACAAATGGTGTCCTTTCAAGGAATCGTATAACACATAACATTTTTGTTTTCTTGCCGAGAGTTAGATGAGAAGATTGATATCATTGTCATATCTATAAACTATGGACAGCAACTGGTTAACTTAGCTTAGCTGAGCAAAAAGACTGGAAACAGCCAGCGTGGCTCCACTAAAGCTCACTAATTAACACGTTATATCTCATTGGTTTAATCTGTACACTCATTCACACACATTCCAGTTTTATGGAAGCAGTGACGTCCTGGAGTTTGTAAGCTTTAGACAAGGCCAGGTTAGCGGTTTCCACCAGTTTCCAGTCTTTATGCTGCTAGCTGTAGCTCCATATTCAATACAACAGATATGAGAGTGGTGTTGATCTTCTCATGTAACTCTGCAAGAAAGTGAGCATGTTTCTCAAAATGTTCAACTATTCCTTTAATTTCTCTTTTATGAAGCTTTGAGATAGGAGTCCACACTGTCTTACATATATATTCTGTATCAATATATCCAAGGTCTTCACTGACACTGACTAAAATCTCCAGAACCTTTCCATCAAATGGAAATATTCTTGACGGTATCATTTTATACCCATTTCCCCAAAGTTCAGTCTGACATATTTGCTGTTTTTTTTAAAGTTTCAGTTCGTGCTGACTGACCTACCCCAACGTTAGCGGGGTTCATACAGTAACTCAAGGCACCCTGGTGGTCTACGGTGCTGATCATGAACTGTAATGTCCCCAGTTTGACTTCAACCGGGCACTTGTGTTGCATGTCTCCCTCCACTGATCTCTCTGGTATCATCTGATGCCCAGAAATATTTAAATATATAAAAAGAGAGGTTAACTCTTGGCTCCTGCTGGAAAACCTGTGTCAATCTGACTTTGAAGAGACCAAGGACTTCATAAACAACTTCATCAGATTCAAATTAATACAGTATAAGGACTAGAATCAACTGTGACACATAATATTAAAACTCTTTTTAAGCTTTTTTCTTCTTATAGGAAGCTGACAGGAGTAGAAATATCCCTTTGCTGCTGCTCTGTCCACCATAAACACAGTGGTCCACATCATCCTGGGGATAAAAATGAGATGCAGAGTGTGCAGCCAACCAGCCCGGACTCTAAACATTACCATACCGATGAAAGTCCTCAGAGCATCAGGGGCTGCTGCTTACTTACCAAACTGTGCACACACACTCCTCCAGTTCGCTCCTGCTCCTCCCTCCCTCTTCTCTCCTCTTTCATGTTTCTTTCTAAATGGCTGCCTTCATTGTTCCCTCTCATTCCTTCTCTATCTCCATCTCAACGCCTTTCACCGGGCTGAGGTGCCGAGCAGACAGAGGAGTGTGGCAGACATTCCCTGTCCCTGACTCATTATTGTGGAGTGGCGCCCCTAGCCATGCCTACTGCTATCTCTCTGTCTGGGTTATGTTAGGGGATAAGACCGAGCCAAGACTGCTCGCAGTCTCCAGACCTCCATAGTCTCAGTGCAAAAGCCTTCTGTGTGCCGGCCAGGACGTGGTGAGGTGATGGCGTGGGCACAGGGCCCCAAAACTGAGACCACGGGATGGAAATCACAACCTCAGTCGGCACAGACTCACCTGTGGCAACGCGACGATTCGGCCGCCTCTTTCGGTTCTACTTGTGGTTGCGTCTCTGCCACATCCCGCCGACTATTCCAATTTAAATCAGTGAGCCACCATCCAAATGACAGAACGAAAACCCCTTAAGAAAACCCCCCTAAAACCTCCTGATCGCTCCCCCTCATCCTCTCTCTTCTCATTTTGAAATAACACATAATCATCTGGCCCTCCGTGCCTTCCAAGAACCCCTGACATCAAAAACCGACCAGGATTTTTCTGTTCTGCACACAAAAGATAATAACACACACACACAAACAGAAAAAAAACCAGAGCAACAAAGGTAAAAAAAAATATGCAGCCTCACCCTTTGCGGAAGAATCTTGTCTGCCATTTTCCTTCTCTTAGCACTAGAGAGAGGGGGAGAAAGACAGAGAGAAAGAGGAAAAAGAGAGCATGTTACTATGGTGACTGATAGCGTAGCACCCAGGCCATCTGCTAAAATGCTGGGCCATATCCAGCACCCCAGCATCCCAGCTGTGTGTGTGTGTGTGTGTGTGTGCATATGTGTGTGTGTGTGCATATGTGTGTGTGTGTGTATGTGCTCGTGTGTTTATGTGAAATGCAGCGGTCCACCTGGAGAGTGAAAGCCTCCAACAGCCAAAAAAGTGTCACATCACACATCTCTTGCATGACATGTATTCGCTGCACACACAAACACAATCCCAAACACACGCACACACACAATCCCAAACACACACACACTCACTCTGCAGAATCACTCTTGCAGCAGGACTCGGATGGTGACAGGATGTGTGTTCAAGAGCTTTTAGGAATGCAGAGTCTTCGAGAGAATGTAGGAGAATGTATGTGTGTGTGTAGATATTTTCATTCATGAATTTCTGGCATTTCCTGCTGTGTGAGAACAACATTTGCTTACCAAAACCATGTTTTTTAATCGTATACTAACTCAAGGAGGCACTCAGAACAATAAGATAAATCTGTGCCAAGTTGGTCCCCTCGTCAGAACTTTCTTACTAAGTGAAACTAATTACAGAAACAACACTACAGCTTCCTTCTCTATCAGCATCATGTGAACGCCTGGGATATGTGGAGCACCCGTATAAAATCATGCAAGTGTTGTGTTCCTCGGTGCCCGCTGGAGGAAATAAACTGGCTAAAAACACCTAGATGGTGCTACACTGCAAAAAGAGCAAGGTAATGTTGCCTTGTGAGCGTTACCCTGGCAAAGCTCTGGGAGGTGGGAGGAAGCAAAGGAATTCATGTCTTATTTCAAAGATTTCAGATTCTTCTCTGTAGTCCTTTTTTTTATTAGGATATTGAGAAGAATTAAAAGATAATCTACATTGGAGCACCTTGTGAATTTGTCAAATCTCACTGCTTTTACCAGGTTTTTACTAAGAGTTACCAAGAGTTAGATGAGAAGGTTAATAACAGTGTACGTATATATATGTCGGCTGAATATAAGGCAATAGCCAGCAGGTGGTTAGCTTAGCTTAGCATAAAGGCTGGAAACATGGGGGAAACAGCTAGCCTGGCTCTATATGAAGGTGAATCTACCTAGCAGCAGTGCTAAAGCTCACTAATTCAAACACAAAATCTTCTTTGTTTAGTCTGTACAAAAACCAAAACTTTGGTTTTTACCACTCCCTGAAAAACCAAAACATTTTTTTACAGTTTGTTTTTCGTGTAGATTTAACAAACACGATATGAAGCAGAGATAAGTTAGCTTCAGGCGTGTCGGCCGGTTGATTTTCTTGCCGTCCAACAGAGCCAGGCTAGTTGTTTCCCCCTGTTTTCAGTCTTTCTGCTAAGCTAGGCTAACATTTCCCAAAACGATTCCTTTCAAGGGTTGATAGTCTTTCATAGAGGCCTAAACCTTTTGCTTACCTGATATTTGTTTGATTCTAGGGCTGGGCGGTATGGATCAAATATTCAGTATAGGTCAACTTATATTGCGATATCAATATGTATAAATATATTTTAACTAAATGGGAATGTTTTTGGCTAATTCAAAATCCTGAAAAACCAAACATGTTGAAGATAAGAATGACATAATAGAACTAGAGCTATTACAGGGATACATTACATTTCTATCGTCTCGTGGTATATATATCATCATATCGCCCAACCCTATTCTTCAGATTACATAATTTCTTGTTTTGTAGAAGGGAATTTTTTTGCAGTGTAGAGAAATTTTCTATCACAGAGCTCTGTGAACGCTCTGTGAAGCAGTATGTTACATCAGCATGCCAAATACTGAAACAAGCCCGCTGCAAGGAGAATCGAAAGATCTCAGGGTGCATTGCAAAGGAAAACACAAACCTGCATCACAACAATCCGCCATTTTAAACTGATTTAAATGGGGGTTTGAGATTGGATTCTACTTTATTTTTCTGTTCCCATCATGCCATGCTCCAGTCCAAAGCATGCACCACTACATTTCAGGGGTCAACTTCTAGGCCCGTTCGTACAGTTGGCCAAAACAACTCATTCAGGAGGGAGTGCTGGGCTCAGGTGAAAGACTAAATAGGCCAGAGTCATCAAACGTAAGAAAACGGACATGCAGCAGAATAAACTCCTACTTTGATCCGAGCGTGGGATCTGATTGGGGCTCTCTCATGTCCATCTGCCTCGCCGGCATCTCATTGGCTCCGGGGAATCCGACTGGCTTCCTAAGAATTGGTGAGGATTCGAAGGTTGTCCGATTAGAGTTGTGGCGAGACACACACTCAAGTGGCAGCAAGTACGACGTCAGAGGGGGAAACACCTGGTGGTGTGGGCTGTTTGTATGTGTGTACAGTGTGTACAGTGTGTTAAGTTCAAGGGTCTGTTAGTAGGTGCAAACTCTAAAACTCAGACAAGGGCAGGCACTGGGATGGGCGTGTAACTGTGTCCATGCACGTACAAAGTGCAGCAGAGGAGGACCTGGGAGGCGCCTCATCTGAGGGACACGCTCATTCAACAAAGTTTCTCGGTGAACCAAAACAATCATGCTTCACACACACAGACAGACAATACACTGACAATGGACACACTGTGAACTCGTGTATCACAGGGAGGGGAGCTAACAAGCAAGTGTTTAGCGAGTTTTAGCTCTTTTTGTTCAGCTCTGAGTTCCAGATATATGAATGTTGCATTGATGAAGTAATGAAGAGGTGCAGATGAAGACAACATGCATGCTACGCACACCTTTTCGCTCACTTTCTAAACATGAATCTCAAACCTTTCTAAGCATTTTCACTGACAAAATACTAGCTCTCGACCAGAGAATTCAGCTCCGGTCTAGCACCTTAAACCAGCTGACCTAGCAACAAGAAACCTGTTTCATTATCGCATGAAGCTAGCGATGTTCCTAAGCAACCGTCCTAGGCAAGTGTCCTAGGTAACGGTAATGTGTAATGAGCAGCAAGTCACATTCTTAGGTTACTTCAAGGACAAAGACTCAAATTAACAGCAAAAACCAAGGTTCAGAGGTTCATATAAAAGATCAGGGCTTTATAAATAATGCGGTCCTCGTGGGAAATAAAAGATGCCATGTTTGAGGCGATGTCCAAGGTGATGGCAACCACAGCAGATTTTAGTTAACTTTGTTGTTTGATCACAAACAGTCAGAACAGCCTCTTTACATTACACTACAACGTTCTGTGTGTTTGTTGCTACGGGAACTCTGAGATTCGATATTAATCATTTGCCTCTTCAAATGGTGTAACTGCAGAACAATTTTGTGGAACGTTTTTAACCAGTTTTATACAATTAAAGAAGACCCTCAGCCTGTGTGATGCAACACATGATTCACAAGATCGACAATAATAAGATGCTTTGGTTTCGCATGAAAAGAAATGCGACGCTAGTCAGAGCACAAGAATTTTTTAACATTCCCACAAGACATCCACTTTGCAAATGAGTATGATAATATGCATCTGAAATGTTATGCTCAGGATGATGCTGTAATAGATTGTTTAAAGAGGGACTTTAAAGCACATATGAGATAAATCAGCACAGAAAACTTTGGTTTAATAGGCTCACCACGGAGGTATATTAAAAGCTACACTCCATCCCTGTTTCCTCTGAATTACATTTATATACAACTAATTTACAATATAAATAGGTTTTCCATTAACGTAATGAGAAAACGTTGTAAATTAATGTATTTTCCAAGCTGTGTGACCACACAAGGGACTCAGGATGTGAACCTTGGTCTCTGGCGTCAAAATCCTGGCTATCATTTGCCTATGAGTTATGTGTGGTATATAAATGTAGAGCTTCCTAGTACACAAAATACTGCCAAGGAACAAGATCCAGGCGGCAATTATGTTTCCCCCACAAAACATATTTGGGAGAACAAATTAGTAGTATATAAACGTAATTTCTAGGACACAGGGTTGAGTGTTCATAACACTTTATGCAAAGCAAACCAGAATTAAATCCTATTTTTAGCAGCAGCTTTGCGTAGGACAGCGTTTGTTCTGCAGAGGGAGCGTAGCTGGGACCATAAGGTCTCAATGACACTGCAAACACAGGTGGCCCGCCCTCAGCTGGCAGCCACGTGGGGTCTGAGCTGGATGGAGTAGAGCGGGGAGCTGGAGCATCAACTTGTTTGCCAGAGGACACACACTCCTCACAAAGCAACAGAGAGCGAGAGCAAGAGAGAGAGAGAGACAGAGACACCTGGACGGGTCACCCTGGACCATCGATCAGATCGTCCGCAGCCAGCCGGGCCGCTCTGGGGGTTGAGGCCCCGACGCCGGACAACATTTCCCCTGACCTGTTCGACAAGCCTGCCTAATTGTAAGTGGATCAATCGTGCTGCAGATACTGAGAGAATGAGACAGAGAGAGACAGAGGTCCACTGAGTGCGCATATTGATCTCCTTTCTAATGACCATACCTGCCACACACTCGTCTCCTAATAGACATCCATTCACTGTGTGTGTGTGTGTGTGTGTCTGTGCGTGTGTGTGTGCTCGGGATACTGATGTTCAGACCTTTTGTACACGGTAGTCAAATAGCAGACAATAGATAGCGTAACAATAAGCAAAAGCAAGAACTAGACCCTGAACGCCCGCAGACTGCAACCACATAGACATGACCATGGGGGGCAAACCAGACCACTGAAGAGACTACACACATGAAGAGGATGAACAGAGGAGGAACATTCAGTCATGGCAGCGATTGGTACGATGAGAGCTGGATGCACAGAGCGAGGTAAAGAAAAAGAGTGGAGCAAAACAAAAACTTAAATGAACAGAGACACACAGAGGTCATGGTTTCACTTTTGGTAACAATGATTTTTATGTTTCTGAAGGTTAGACCACAGTATGTATTGTGGATGTATTGTAGGGCTTCATTAATCCATTATTAATCAACAGAACCAACAAGCTAATGGCTCAATGTGCCATCTTCATGAAGACATTCATTTAAGATATAAATCCTCAAATTTAAGTAGTTGGAACCTGCAAATATAGCCATTAGTGGTGTGGTAGTGTTGGTTGCTTGGTCCACCACTTCGGTGCAGACTGAAATATCTCAACTACTAATCATTTAAGCACTATTGTCTCTAATCTATATGTCTTAACAGCAGGACTTGGTAGGCCTATTATTAGAAATGTTTTGATACCGGTGGCATTACAATACCTACTGCCAAGACCATTAAACCTTTATACGTCAACCTGTATTATCATTTAACAAAATAATCCAATAATCCAAAGGCCAGTGCATTGTGCTTAATGTCGTTGTATGAGGACATTTCTCTGCAATGAAATAAATTCTAAAATTAGCAAAGTTATAAGTTCAATGGTACTTGGTTGGTGCTAAAGAATATTATGGTTCGATGCCCAGCTCTTACTAAAATGATTCGTGACCATTTTCATGTTTGGTTTTGAAGATCGATGCCAATATGAGCAACATTTAATTTAATTTTTTACTACTTAAGTGTAACCATAGCCATTGTAGTCTGATCTCAACCATTAACACACAGAAGCAGATAAATAAGGAGCTCTATATGCAAGCCATGCAGTGTTCAGGTAGGAGTTGGAGGTCGACGGGATTCAGACTCACTTTCTGGCCCGGTTTTGAACGGCCTGCTGCTGCTGCTGCTGCTGTTGCTGCTGCTGCTGCTGCTGGACCTGCTGGGAGGGGGCAGGCCTCTTACGACTGGGCTCCATAACCGGAGAGGGCAGGCCGGGCCGCACCGCTGGGCTCCCTCCGTACGGTGGGCCGGGGGGGCCCATGGGAGCTCCCTGGTGGGGCATCCTCGCTCCAGACGGCATGCCAGGACGCTGGGGAGAAAAATAACGGGTTATATATATGTAGAAAACATTCTCTGCTGTGTTTTTTAATTAATTATAATCACAAATTAGTGCTTCTAAAAATATAACAAAGGAAATGTTTGATCAATTGCAACTTTTATGTATTTCCCGCTGATGGATTCAAGCTAGACAAAAGAGACAAAATCATTAAGCAGAGCTGAAACAAAGAGAGTCAGATCAGCTCCTAATCCAGACCTCACAGATTTTTCCTCTTTACGCTGAAATTCTGGTGTCTGTTCTGGTTTCCATCGAAACTCGAGAGTCCTATCTTTGTAACCTTTGGCAAACTTTCAGTAACCAAACAAAAGCTAAGCTGGTAAACTTGAACACACATTAAGCAATTTTGTGTCAATTTACACGATTTCTGTGTTTTGAATCTTTTCCATCTGGGGCTGTAAACATGAAAGAAACTGACTCATAAAGCTTTTGGGGTTTGTGTTTGTTAGACAGTTGACATTAGAGGCCAACGTGAAACATGGAGGATGCACTACAGGCAACTTCTGAGCCCTAAAATATCTAAAATGAATCAATCTGTCATTGGTGAGAGATACGGTAATTTCAGCCGAACCCAAATCATTCAACATTTGAAAAATCAACTGATACGAGAACAGAGAGCTGCCTTATTTTGTCTTGTCTAAACATAACTAACATTGATTTCCAGAAACAAGAGCAACTGTACAGAACAAGCAGCAGTGCTTTGTGTCTGTCTTATTTTCTCTCTTGTTCTCTTGTCTGCTTTAAACAAAAATCAGGTGTGACGGCAGAAAAACAGACTAAATGAAAATTGTTCTGCAGTGTGAAAACTCTGTCACACACACATACACTCCCCCTAAACAATGCAAACAGTGTCAATGGTCTTACACTCCCATCTTGACGCCTAGGAACAACTGGGGAACTCTCACCTGTGCTTGTCACTCCCATGGCAACAGCTGCCTCCCGCCTCAGTTTATTGTCTGAAACCAAATTGGGGTTCGTGTGATAGAAAGAAATCCTTTGACTCCAACTGGCGAACAGACCACCTACTCTATTTAAATAAGCGCCGGGAGGTAAAACGCATCTACAGAGAACACGCCATCCTCTAATTACAGTTTCATTACTTTAAATGCGTCAGCGGTGGAGGAAATATTCAGAACCTTTACTTAAATAAATACAATGTACAAATACTTCACTGTATAAATACACTGTACAAAGGTTTTAGCAGCAAAATGTACTTAAAGCATTAAAAGTACTAACGCAGGCAAATGGTTCCTGTCGAGAGTTATAAGCTCATATATTTTTGGATTGTTATTACTGATGCATTAACCTGTAAGCAACTCTTTAATGTGGTGGTTTGATCAAAGCCGAGCTGAGTTTTACTCATACTTTCACGAGAATTAACAAATGGACAACTACTTTCAAGCCCTCAGGGACATAAAAGCCCCGGGTTATCTGTGTTGCAGCTACTTTATAATCATTTAATTAATTCCACATTTGTTTGGTAATATAGCGCACAATCTAAGATATGTGTCCCTGTGTTTATTGTTCATTTATTATTTATTGCGTACGTGTGTGTAAATGAAATCCCTCTTCCTGTAAAATGTAAACAAAAACTTTATGTTTCCAAACAATGTGGGTGAGGACTAACTAAACTAACTAATTTAATTTAACTTATCCTCCTCTTCCTGATCTAATAACATGGTTGACGGAGGTGTGGGTACAAGTGAACAACTTTACAACTACTGTCTTCACTACCCAATCATATTTTTTTAATCATATACTTTTATACCTTTTATACTTCAGTGGACACTAGGGTTGGAGTAGATAGGTCAGTAAAATTAAAACACAATTTAAACACCAGATTGTATGACTTTATAATAATATAATCATAATAATAATATTTAATAATGAAAGACCTGCAAAGCTTTCATTACAGACAAATACATTCATCTCATACACCTACAGACCTGACATGACACGCAGCAAAGGGCCACACGTC